TTTTGGTCCATTCAGTGTTAATGCGTGAATTCTTCTTTTGAGGAAAGAAAATGGTCGATGATAATCGAATTCTTCTATACAAAGGCTGACAAAGCAAAATGACTTTAGTTAAAATCTTGATTTGATTTATTAAATCAATTAGCTGACTTTTTCATCATTTACTAATAAATTAGAGTGGATATGTGGTGTTGTTCTTATTCTGATCAATCATAGAAATCACACAGAACTGAATTGGGCTGAATTAAGTCCAATTAATTTGCATTTTATAATAAACATTTTCTCTAATAAATCAACTTCGCTGCTGTAGTTATCTCAAATCTGAATGATTGTTTTTATTTGTAGGCTATAGCAGCGGACTGTAAGAGAGTGACCGTTCTGAAGTACTTCCTGGAAGCTCTGTGCGGGCAGGAAGAGCCGCTGTTGGCTTTTAAGGGAGGAAAGTACATTTCCATGGCAACACCTCCTACACCCAGCGTAAACACAGAGAACAAGGTGCAAACGCAAGAACAGGTACAGCGAATCTCTCATTACCGGGATGTATTTTGCTTTTCCTCAAATCTGAGACAATTATTTTTCCAGTAATTCACCCAACAGAGAGTGTGGTTAACAGAGCACTGCTACTTCCTCTGTTTTCTCAGGAGGATGATGTCATTGTGGAGGAATCGTCTCTCTCTGCATCGGAAGGGGAGATCGATGGAGAGATGGAAGGAGACGGAAGTGAGGATGATATCAGAGAGCTGAGGGCACGGCGCCACGCTCTCGCACACAAGCTGGCACAGCAGCAGAAACGGCAGGACAAGATACAGGTATCTCCAGATGCCATCTTTATCTTACACTTTGTCTACTTTTAACGTTAATGATTCTTACACCAGAATATTTCAAGCTAATGATATAGAGCTGAGCAAGTGTCCGTTTCTGTCCTCCAGGCTGTTCTGCAGACGGGTGGACAGCTGGAGATTGAGATCAGGCCATTCTATCTGGTCCCGGACACAAACGGCTTCATAGATCATCTGGACGGCCTGAGGAAGCTTCTGGCCTGTCGGACGTACATCCTGGTTGTGCCTCTTATTGGTGAGACCCTCTTTGATAATTAAAATACACACAAATGTTTCACTCTTATGTTTAATGTTTCTGTGTACTTATGACAGTGATCACGGAGTTGGATGGTCTGGCTAAAGGGCAGGGCAGTCGTGAGGGGGTCGGTAATGGTGCCCATGCCCGACAGGTGCAGGAGAGAGCCAGATCAGCGGTCATGTTTCTGGAGAAAGCGTTTGAATCTAGAGATCCCTGCATCAGAGCGCTCACCAGCAGAGGAAACACACTGGAGTCCATCGCCTTCCGCAGTGAGGACACTTCTGGACAAAAGGTACGTGTTTCTTCCCCTTTATGAAAGAATGGTGGTGCTAAAATACAGAGGATTGTGCTGTTTCACACTTAGAATCGCTCTCGCGGTACTTTGATGTCATACAGCGATCGGTCTGCACAGTGCTGCTTCAAATCGAATACAACTCATCTCACGAGCTGACCCTCTGAGCGGGTCCTACGCTCACATCCGCATGTAAACATCTCGTCGGCGTGGAAGTTCTTCATTGTGAGTGAAGCAGACACAAAGTTTGCAATTTGTAATACAATATTGACTGTTTTTGCTCAAGTTCGCTGACGAAGTTTCAATCAAAGCCACAGCAGAAGTGTTTTGTGTCTCCCAGCAACACAGCGGTGTTTCGATACTGAATGAATCCACGTTTTTGAACAAATCAAGTGAGTCAATGATTCAGTAACCCATTCATAAAGGCAGAAGCCTTGATTCTGAATGAATCAGCTGTTTGAATAAAAGACTCGCTCATTAAAACAGTCATTTAACGTCATCTACTGGTGGTTTGGTTTCATATTTAAAAGTAGTGCATTTTTCCCAACATTTTTAACTTTTTTAAATTTAAATTTAAAATTTTGTGGTAAATGCATTTATGGCACCTCCGCGTCATCAAACAGTCTGTGTAAATGCATCTAATGCCACTTCAGATGCAGCTTCTGTTTCCTCTGCAGTGAAAAGTTCAGCGAGTTTGTTGATAATATGCGCACTCTAATGTGAGCTCTAATGAGAAGTATGAACACCGATGACAACAGAGTTGCACTGTCCAAAAAGTGTGTGGTATAAATGTTTTTACTTGAAGCATATGTTGTCTTTTCCCTTTATTTTGTTGTCAGAGTTCACCAGAACGCTTCATTTACATGTTAAAGGGGTCATATGATGCGATTTCAAGTTTTCCTTTCTCTTTGGAGTGTTACAAGCTGTTCGTGAATAGATAAGATCCCTAAAGTTACAAAGACTAAAGTAGAGATGAGATATTCTTTATAAAAGTTAAGACTGGTCCACGCCCTCCTAAAACGCCTCGTTTAAACACGCCCCCACATATCTATGTCACGACGTGGGAAGATTTGCATAACGCCACCCAAATGTTCACACAAAGAAAGAAGGCGTAACTTTATTGTTACTGCCACCGCCGCCACCATGTTGTGAAGACGCTGTGTTTCGTTGCGAAAGCGAAAATACTTTGTTTGGCCTTCGGGGTGGAGATGGGTAGGTTTAGGTATATGTAAGGTGGGAGGAGTTGGATCTGGATCCAACCACGCACCCTGGATCCGTTTCGATGGCACACTTATGCTCACATCCGCAAGTAAACATGTCGTCGGCGTGGAAGTTCTTCATTGTGAGTTAAACAGAAACAAAGTTCGCAATTTGTAATACAATATTGACTGTTTTTGCTCAAGTTCGCTGACAAAGTTTCAATCAAAGCCACAGCAGAACTGTTTTGTGTCTCTGAGCAACAGCGTTGCTTCGATACTGAATTAATCCACGTTTTTGAATGAATCAATGTCAATGATTCAGTAACCCATTCATACAGACAGTAGTCATTTGCCTCATTTTTGAATGAATGACTAATAGGAATACTGCGCTCCTGTACTCGTC